AGAGCTTTATTGGCTGTTCACTTCGATTAGTGTTTGATTGTGTACAATTCTTAAAGTTTCGGCGTAATTGTAATCTATGATACCCTGCAGATCAATATATTTATGCTGCTATTGACAAAAGGAAGAAATAATTCACCTTATATCTATATTTACCCTGCGGCACTAACATATTCATCCAATATTGTCATCAATATATGTCTCGTGGTATGAGAATACCACATAATGGCATTTCCCACCATAACTTGTATATGTACCCTAAATGAAATTTATGGAATAGCTGCCTAGGCAACATTTAAAGGTGTTTGAAAGTCCCAACTTTTTGGAGGGAGGAAATTGGTCAACAAGTGTGAGGAAAATAGTCAAATGCTAGCACCTTGGTATTTAACTGAAGTTTGACCATGCTAAATTGAAGTTTGCATAACACCAACTGCAATCCCTTGCTTATGCGTAATAAGCCTGTCATTCTAATGTCCATTTTCTGTTATCTCTCTCCAAGTGATGCCCATCCTTCGACCATCAGGTTCTCTCATCAGATTGGCAAATCATATGTTGTGGATCAGTAACTCAAGATTAAGCAAGCTATTTCGAGCTATTTTAATTTTTCTCTATTTAACATCACACTGAAAATTTCAACTTCCCAATTCTTTTACAACCAATACTATATAGTTGCAATATTTTAATATTTCTTGTTTTTCAGGTGTGATCGAATTCTATCATTCGGGAAGGGGATAAGGCTACTGAGTTACGGGAGATCTGAACTTAAGTTTTCAGATCATCGACCTGTCTCTGCCACATATATGGTAGAGGTTGAGGTATTTAGCCCAAGGAAGTTGCAACGGGCCCTCACTTTTACTGATGCTGAAATTGAAAAGGAGGAAATGGTTACAGATATGGGAAGAGAGAGTGGAATGAGTCGATTCATTTCAGAGCAGGTTAGTTTGCGACTTATATGTTTTAATTTTCAAAAGCATAAAGCCGTGTGTGCGTTTCGAACAAATCTTGTCCCTGAAGCAGATATAGGGTCAGCGGACACTATAACCAAAGAAGTCATTTCTATTAGTTATAGTCCCCTAATTTTGTACAAGTATTTAACTTTGCAGTCTTGAGGGTTTGAAATTATACGAGATGGTTATCTTGGTTAAATGAAATACTTGCCATCTCAGCTGCCCCAACTAATTTAAGATTGAAGTATAGTTGATTGGCTGATAGGAGGCAGTGTCACCATGTGATTTTAGAACTTCCGGAGTTGTCAAACTAGAAAGAGAAAATGGTATAGAGAAAATGCTACAATTATGGATGCAGTATGATGACTTTACAGAAAACTATTATCAGTCCTGGCGTTATTTGATTTTGGTGTTTAGTCACAATATTTTATTTTTGGTATCACAATATTATCTGATAAGAGTTATTTTTTTTCTTTTCTGGCATAGAGGTATACCTATGATGGTATGAGTTTTGTGATATTTTTGGAAAAATTGATTGATGCTACAAAGACAATGGATGTCCAAACTTGTAGAATCAGATATTGCATAATTGAGATATTAGTGGTAGATATGTGCGTCTTCCAAAAGTGAAATAAATCATAAGAAAAAAATCTTAGACTTTGACTTGCAAGTACAAAGAATAAGAATTTTAGCAGTAATACAGAATGTGTGATGCATCAGGAAGTAGCTTGGTGATACGAAAGGACTATATACACGGTACATTTTTATAGCAATCAAGAAAGCAAGATGTGATCCTAAGTTCTTTATTTAATCATATTTTCTTTGGAAACATCAATGTTGACAAATATATTGCTTTTGATGGTTGCCAGTGAAAGCTTATGGTGAAATTGCTAGGGATTTCTAACATTTTTTTCTTGACAATAATCTTTTTTGCTGAAATAGGACGATTCTTATTGGATGCGCTAAAAGTTGTTTCTTCGGGGACAGTTGAAGCGGCTGCAAGATAGACGATCCACGACTCGTGAATTTTCATGAGTAACGATTCTGCATATATTATTTTGATTTTTTATTCTTCACCCTTGACGCTGTATATTGTGTTTAGTTGATGCATCTTTACTGTATATTATTGTTGTTCAGACTTCTAAGTGAGTGAGCTCATTTTTGTAGTCTTCCTTCTTAGTCTGGGCTTTTCCAGCATGAATTTGTTAAGCAGTGTATAGCAAATTGTTAATGTATGCAATAATGTTGCTCTCAGGTTTTCTGACAAATAACATTCTCTACAAACCGAAGCACGGTATTCTTTTTTCTATCTATGTTTTATTAGATGTTTAAAATCTAGCAAAAAAATAGAAGGATCTTACCTATATGTTGCTGCTGTTCTGCAAATTAAGAATTGGACAAAAAGTTGGACTTTCCTACTACTGTGCACACTACTACAGAAACTTTAATTTCTTGCTTCATGATGAATTAACTGGTGCAGTGACAAATCCTGAAATCTTGTGGAGGCAATAGAATCCTAGAGGCTAGAGCACTATGCCCACTATAAATTCTGCACATGTTTTGTGCATCGAGGTAAGTCTTCTCAAGGAATTAACAGTAACCATGTTTGGCTTGAAAGACAAAAAGGAAGATTCAGAAATGCGAAAAACAAAAAGAGAAGAAGAAAGGAAAGAAAACTAGTGGCTTTCTGGCTTCTTTTCTTGGTTCACAAACTCAAAGGTACGAATATATAGTCACGGCAGGCAACACATATCACTTGACAGAGAGGTCGTACCTAATTGAGCGCCCAAGCAAAGGTGTATCCAAAATTTAAATTCGTTTAGGACTATGGTTCCAACCAATGAGCTCATAACCTTGTTTGAGTTCTGGGTTCATAGTTAAATATTTTTTCGCAATTTTGTAGGGTTTTACAGATATAAATCCAGGCTTAAGTTAAATAACTGGTTCATAGTCAAAATTGTATTGGAACATTACAACTGTCATATTATTTTAACTGAATTATTTTAGAAAATTCTGGAATCCAAAGTCTTTGAATGGCTATAAATGGCTCCTACTAGGTTGAATTGTCTCTTTGCGGATATGAAAAGAAGAGGACGTGACTCGTTTACTTTTATTTCAGTAACATTACTCTTTAGGAGCTATTATCTGTGTACGTTGAAGGATTGAGCTAGAGAGATTACGATTTCTTATTCAATTTTCATATTCGTTCTATTCTATGTTGTCTAATTGCGACCACTCTCAGCAAACTAGCGAGATTGTAATTTTGGTGGTTGCACATTAGATGTTCAAATTTCAATCTTTTTTTCTTTCCCTTTTCCAACTATGGGTCCAACTCCTCTCCAAAGATTTGAAAAGAAGAATGAAAGTGAAGAACATTTTGGTTCTTGCAAAGAAAGAAAAGAATAAATCTGTTCCTCACTTGGAATTTTGTTAGCAAATTTTAGCCAAATTCCCCCTACAAAATCGGAAACCCTTAGTTTTCGTAATATATTTTTTTTCATCCAAAACAGTCATCTATTAATGCATTAAGGACAAGATATGTCCAAAGGAGCGTACAACCTCATTTATGATTCAGCTAGTTGTAATCTGAAGTTTGCTCAATAGTGAAGTTGAAATTCTAAGAGTGTAGGTCGTGGTTTTTAATCCCGTGAGTTGGGAGTTTTCCACGTAAAACTCTATTATGTTATTTACTCACTGTTGTGTGTGTGTGTTCTGTGGGAACTAATAGAGAACCTGGTTCTCTATATACTTTGGTGGACCCTTAGTTTCTATGAGCAACATTATCAGGAGGTTCACTTTTTTAGTAAAGGCAAAATACCTTAAACCCCCCTTAAACTTGGCACGCATTATTGGTTACATCCTTGAACTATCTATGGTCTTAATTATCCCCCTATACTTGGTTATCCGATAGTTGTTACCCCCTTGGATGATCTCATCCCAGGAAAGTGGCGTGCATTCGCCTGCTAGTGAATTTTTCTGTCTATGTGGCATTTTTTGAAAAATAAAATATATTTTTACCTTTTTAAGTATATTACTTTTTTAGATAATTGTTTTCGAATAAAATTTATAATAAAACTTGGATAGAACTACATTATTTAGGCCAATATTTTTATTTGGCTAAAAATAATAAAGTTTTAGTTATTCGTTTTTTGAATTTGACCTGAAAATAAAGATTTATACAATTGAAATAAATAGTTAAGGCATCTTAAAAATTATAAAAAATACATAGTTTGAAATTTATTATTTTGGCTATAATTCTTTATATAGATCTAAATTATGGTGCTCTAAAAATATTTTTTTTTTTTTTTTACATATTTTACCTGAAAAAGTAAAAATACACAGTTGAAATAAATAGTCGTTGCATCAAAAGAAGAAATAAAAAGAGTGTACAATTGCAAGTTCAATATTTTGGCTATACTTCTTTCATTTGGTAAAAAATAATGGAGTTATGGCCAAATTTTTTTTATTAGTTTGATTCGAAAATAAAAATACACAATTAAAATAAATAGACATTATATATAAAGAAAAAAATAGGAAATATACACAACTGGTACTCCATTATTTTTGCTAAAAGTTTTTTATTTGGCTAAAATGATGGAGTTCCTATCAAACGTTTTACAAATTCGGCCAAAAAAAAACATACAGTTGGAACAAATAAACATTATATCTTAGAAGAAATTAAAAATAATAGAAGTTAGAGTAAAGTCCACATTGTATCTTAAGATGAAGCAAGAAGAAATACGTACTTGTAACAAATAAATCATTATATATGACAATATGACAATTAAAATTTATAAAATAACCTATTTGGAAGCTGATTTTTTAATTTTTCTTCACTCCCACGTGCTTAAAAGAGCCACACTCTTTGCCATATAAGTGTCCAGGGGGTAATGGCTCTCAAAAGGCCAAGTTAAGGGGGTAATTAAGACCACGAATAGTTTAGGGTTGTAATTAATAATCCGTGGCAAGTTTATGAGATTCTTTTTTAGGTATTCGGCCTTTAGTAAATTAATGGTATTTTAGTAGAACACCATAAAATTTCTCCAAAAATTAAAAGAAATATAAAAGGACGGAACATTTAAAAAATAAAAAAGTGAGGATTAGATTGGATTTTACTTGACTGTCTACGTTCTATTATGTGTGCTTGGGGTAGAAGCTTTTGATCTAAACATGAATTAGACTAACAATCAATCTGAGTTAGAGGAAGCATCAAATACATCTTCATCGTTTAGGAACTTAATTAACTTACAGTTATTACTATGTAAATTCTTCTTCCAATCAAATTGATTGAATATGTCGCTCCTTTTCTCCCCCAGATAACTAGTTACTTATTACTATGTGGGTAAAATTATTGTGTGTGAATTTACCCTTAAACAAAAAAAAAGGTCTACGGCCAAAGGAAGAAAATCGCGGTAAGATAATGGTGTACGTGGAACAAGACAAGCCCAGTAGCAAGCACAACAAAGTACCACACGTTAACTCCCAGACTCAATTGTACAAAAATCGTACAAATATGAAATGAAAAGTGAAAGCAGTTGCTAAATGCTTACTTTTGAAATTCAAATTCGTATCTCCACTTCAATTCTCATCATGTTTATTGCCAAAGTAAAGAAATAAATACCTTTTTCATTTCACTTCTTTTTTCAAAACAATTTTATCTTCTTTCCTCTAATCTGTTTCTGATCACTATGTTTCCCATCTGCAGGCATTGAGAGCTACGGCATTTGGGATTTATGGCTATATGAATTTCACAAAGTCTGGTTTTGCGTAAGTCCCTTTTTTTTTTTTGGAATATAAATTGTGCTTGCTTTGAAGTGGGTAATTGTCATTTACCTTTTGCTTATGAGTTTCAACGTGGGGAGATTACTGATAATGATTTGTTACTCATTATTCTATATCTTGTTATTGGCTGTTGGTTATGAGAATCAAGCTGATAATTCCTCTTCTCTAGCATTTGGTGAATTGGAAATTGTAGTGGAAAGATGTACAACAACAACAATATACCCGGTGTAATCCCACATTGTGGGGTCCGGGAGGTTAAATTGTAGACAAACCTTACCCCTACCTTACGGAAGTAGAGAGGCCGTTTCCGAAGGACCATCGGCTAAAAAAACAGTTTTCAGCAGATTTGCACAGGAGAACAGTAATGAGTAGTGGAAATGTGTCATTTGTAAATTATTGTTTTCCTAAGAAACTTGTTCTTGGAGAATTAAAAAGGAAATATGTAGAAAAGGATTAATATTGATCACGAATCTTAAACTGATAATTTGTTTATGTGATCAAGATCCCATTTTTTCCCTTCGATTAAAACTATTTGATAAGTGGAATCTATGTCTGGGAATTTCTATGCGTCGAGGATTTCAATGGAAAAAGAATATAATTTCTGGCCCCATTTGAATTTTAGGGAACACGCGAAAAAGTTTAAGCCAGAGGATATGCAAGTTCAAATGGAAGGGAAGAATTGCATTGTCACAGGTGCAAATTCCGGCATTGGTTTTGCAACTGCTGAAGGCCTCGCTTCACGGTGCTTATCCTGCCTTCAATTCTTCATTCTTATGGAGTTGGCATTGAGAGATCGATACAAGAACAATATTTTGATCTAAGTATTACTAACAGTTTTGACTTCGATTGTTTCAAGTGGAGCGACTGTCTACATGTTATGCCGTAATAAGGAGAGGGGAGAGGCTGCTCTTACCCAAATTCACTCAATCACTGGAAACAAAAATGTTTACTTGGAGGTAGTTCTTACTTCTGTTATCTGAATTGGTGCAAGTAGAGATATTTTGTTTTGAAGTTTTGATTATGGGTTACATTTGTTTCGAAACTGGCAGGTCTGTGACATTTCATCAGTCAGTGATGTCAAATCCTTCGCTTCTAGATTTTGTTCAAAAGATGTGCCGGTCCATGTCCTGGTAGTGTACCTTTCTTCATCTGGGAACCTTTTTCCACCGACACCGTCTAATGTTCTTCGTTAAATGATTTGTATTATTTCTGACCAGTTTCATCTTTTCTTATATGACAAGGTGAATAATGCTGGCCTGCTTGAAACAAATTGTGTCATCACTCCAGAAGGGTAGGCAGGCTCGTGTTTAGTGCTTCTAAAGCTTTCAATAATACTCTCTTTGGGGATCTGTTCAAAGGTTAATTTATATCCTTTTATTATCTTAACAACAGATATGAGCTGAGTTTTGCTACCAATGTTCTTGGCACTTACACCTTGACAGAGTTGATGCTACCTCTCCTTGAGAAGGCGGCACCTGATGCTCGTGTTATCACAGTTGCCTCTGGGGGGATGTACACAGCTCCACTGACAACCGATTTACAGGTAACTTTATTCCCAATTTCTTAATACATCGATCTTGCTCGGTTGACTATGTTCTGATAAACTATATTTGCAGTTTAGTGGTAACAAGTTTGATGGGGTGGAACAGTATGCTCGGAACAAGAGAGTTCAGGTACATTAAATATTTTGTCTTGAGAACGGGTACTTCTAAGAGGTTTACTAATGACAGCTATATATATGTTACTGTCAAATGCTTCTACTAATTTTCTGATTTCATCTAATTAAAGATCCAAGAGAAATTGGTGATTTACCTCCCTTAATTTCATTCACCAAATCTATTAGTCATCTAATTTCCTCGTGTAAAAAGTTGAGCGTTTATGTGGTGTAAAGCTATTGAGTATTTTGAACAGTAAGCTCCTTCGTGATGTCTTAAAGAGCATATGGAGATGCCATTTTCCGCTTAGATGACTAAGGTCTCTGTTACTTCTAAAATTCAAAAACAAATAGTTTTCTCTCCCTCATTCCTAGACAACCATCTTTTCATTTTTATCTTACAGCAAATTGGATTTGATTTGATTTGTTGATCCCATGGAGGCCTTTACCTCAATCGCAACCTAATTGTGCAATGCCAAGCATATGGTTTCTCTATAGAAATTAGTTGATGAATGAGACTTTTTAAGTCTTGTGGAAAATTATAGAGAATTTTATCTCTCAATGTTCCCCCTTCATTTTATCATTTGGAACTAACTAAAAGTTTTGCTACTTGGTCTTGCCAAATATGCGTCTTTCCTTTTCTACTTTTTTTTTTTTTTTTGTTGTGTTTGCATTTGNCTTTTCTTCTTTTTTTTTTTTTTTTGTGTTGTGTTTGCATTTGTTCTAGTGTGAATACGAAGGAAGTCAAGGATATGCATATCGTGATCTTTCAATAAACATATACATCTGGGAATGTCTGTCCCTATCTTGTTTGCTTTCCACCTAAATTATCTCAATAGAGTTGCCTATCTTCATTTCAGGTTGCATTGACAGAAAAATGGGCTGAAATGTACAAGGATAAAGGTGTAGGTTTCTACTCCATGCATCCAGGGTGGGCCGAAACGCCTGGAGTATCCAAGAGTTTGCCGGATTTTTCAAAATCGTAAGTGGATAGAGCACTACTCCCTTATGAATTCCTTTTATCTTTCTAAAAGATGATACTATTGATGATGTGTTGTAGGTTTGAAGGAAAACTTAGAAGTAGTGAGGAAGGTGCAGATACAGTAATCTGGTTGGCTTTACAACCAAAAGAGAAGTTGGTTTCTGGACAATTTTATTTTGATAGAGCTGAAGCACCTAAACATCTGCCACTCACAGGCACCAACAACTCCCATTCCACTATAGACTCCATAATCGAGAAACTTAGATCTTTTGCCGACTTATGATTATACATATTTCCCCAGTGAATCCTAATTCATAATCCAGAAATTATTTATAGTTTATAGAACAGGATTGTGATCTCCTCAAACATAGAATCATTTATCTTTTCTTCTTTTGATTGTGTAGGATGAGCATTTCTTGTGATTTATATTTTAACATTTGGGAGTTTATGTTAACAATGTTGTGAGGTAAAGGTTTTTTCTTGAATGTATGATATTGAAGAATGCTAAAAACAAACCAAAAAGGAAAAGAAAAAAATTTGCACCAGCCGGGAATCGAACCCGAGTCTGTACCGTGGCAGGGTACTATTCTACCACTAGACCACTGGTGCACTTGTTGTTATCCCATTCGCTGGGCTAACTGAACGGGGCTTATGCTCTTGCAGTCATCTCTTTTTTTCTTTTTTGATTTAGCCATTTTTTTCTAATAATATGCTTATGTGGTTGGCTAAACCATTTACAAAGTGATTTTTGTTAATGTTAAAGCTATTTACATTCGGCTCATCTTTTAAAAGTACTTGCGCATCAAGTACGAAATTTGAATGTAAATATCCACTTCAGCATTAGTATTCTTATTTAGATCTATGAGAGACTTTGATTAAATTATTATAATTTCATTTGATTAATATGTAAAAGTAAAATAACAAAGTAGAGAGAGAAAGAGTGTGTGTTTACAAGACTTTGGTCTCATAGATGTGTGTAGAGTTCGAATCAAAACAACTACAACACCCGGATTACATTGTCATCGATTTCTTATCTTTAGAGGTGTCTAACCGAGTCAATAACAAGTGCAGGAGGGTAGGGCAAGAAAGCATATGTTCATGACTAACATTCATTTTATCGAAGAAAAGTGACCATTATTTTTTTAACAATGGACTATAATTCAACAATGAAAATGGATCAATTTGCTTCGATAATGATTTGAATGATATTAATCCAGAAGTGTCATTAACCGACATTTTCAATCTCATCACCAAGATCCCTAACAAAATATATCTTGACATTGCATTTATTTGCTCTTTTTGTGTTCCTTAGCATAGTCATTTACTAAGGCTTCAACATCTTTCCAGAATAGCCCCTCCACAAGAACTCCATCCTTGGTAAACCTGCAAAACGTAAATCATCATAATCAAGTCGTTCAGTTCATGAAATCCCTTTTATACTATTTTCCTCTTTGAAAAAGAAGAGGGGTGGAGAACGGGAGGGAGAAAGAGACCATTGTGTGACGCTCTTGGTAAATTCCACTTTTGGCTTTGCAGAAATTGACTTGGGATCAGCAGTCTCTACTGTAAGTGTGTACTTATCAGAGAACCTAGGCAGCTTCGAAGAGACGATTAAGCCAGTGCTGTTAAAAGATCCCTGTCACAAACAATCCTTTATGAGCAAACTACTTCATCCAACTAATAGTTGCATCAACGGAATTTGAGCAGAGAGAAGAAATTCAGTGCCAAACTGCAACAAATTCAGTACGAGATTGACCAGGCAATAGATTGTTATTTCAGCTACTGTGTCTCCAATTGACATAAGATTAATGACAGTTTTATTAGGGTAGATGAGTTTGCCAGATGATCGAAAGTAGCATAACTACTGAGCCTCCAGATGCTGTAAGACGAGGCTCAACAAAAATCTATGCAGGTGATATGATTGATTACACAGAAATCTTCGGGAGAAGCAGAAGCCTATGGTGTTCACATTTCACCAGGTTCAGCTAAAGTAAGAACACGTAAGCGTCGCAAAAGTCACAAGATCTAAAAACACTACCGCAGCAGATATGAGTTGACTATAGCTGAAGTATATTGCAAGCAACAAGACAGTTAAATATATTGGAAAGAATACTGCAGGCATTAACATACTTGAAGAGCAGTAACCTCAAAATTCACCACTAAAAGCAACATAACAAAATCTAGTAGATAGTAGAGAATAAATGACAAGCAGGCAGTCCTTCATGCTTTCTTCATAGCAGCATATAAGCCTCTAGCAACTCATTAGAGTGTACCACTTACTTGAAAGGAGCACGTAAGTTCCCATAAATAATATTTAGAAAAAAAGACAGACAAAATAAAATGAAAATCTACCAGAATTTGAAGCTTGTGCTGCCAGATGAGGAGCTATCGGAGATTTCTCACTAGAAATACTGATGAAGACTTCACACTTGGGAGGAAAAGAAAGAAATAATAATTGATGACTTCACACTAGGAAAGAAAAAAGTAGAAGACAAAAACAAGAAAAGAAAGGGGCTCCACCAGATGTGAGGTCTGAACACGGTATGCTGCCAGATGAAAGAGTTGCGAGACACGAAGATCGAGATAAAGACTAAGAAAGGAAACAAAAGATGCACACCAGATTTGAAGTCTGAAACACAATGTGCTACTAGACGAAGATTTCACCACTAGAAAATAGAGCATTTTATATTGAGTGAACTGACACTAGGAAGGAAATACAAAGGGAATTGGGGCAAAAGAATCTTGATAAAAAGATTTGAGGTGCATTAGTGACTAGTGAGACCCCACCACGATAAACCCTGGAAGCACCTAGACAAAATAGAACAAACAGCGTTGACCTCCCTTTTTGGTAGGTAAACAACAATCCTAGAGAAAGCAACATGCAATATCAGGCTCCCAGAAACGCTGATGAGGGCAAATCTGTGGTCTGTTTTTTTATCTCAAGTCCATTCCTCATCCCAACAAGCATTCAAGAAGGTAGCTCCAATATAAATAGGTGGCAGTATTTCACTGAAACTATGAACATCAAGGATGATGAAGATATACGAAGAGATTGATGTTGAATGTCTAAAACTCAGAAGGTCATTCCAGTCAGAAAAGTGGCATTAGTAGAACGTATCTATTAAGCCCGCCTCAGTACACGATCACTGATAGCACCCATCTTCTTTCCTCATTCTAACCTTTTTTGCTCCTCAAACCAGAGCCTATCACTCTGTTTAACTCGGAACTATAAGACCAAGTGGAAGCTGGAGACTACACAATGGAAGTAACAGCAAAATTCAAGAGAGAGAGAGAGAGAGAGAGAGAGAGAGAGAGAGAGGAACTCCACTTGAAGAAACACCAAGAATAAAGAATTAAGTGACATCAAAGGGAGGTACCAGAGAAACAAGATCCCATCTAGAGAAGAAAAAGATTAGGGACAGTAAGTGCTCAGCGAAGTCATCTATAACCATTGAGATGTTTCTGACGAGCAGAACACTGTTCAGATGCGCAAAACCAATCTTTCTGATATACACAACATGAAAGTAAAAGGAAAAGGAAAATATTAAAATGCATATTCTCCACTGTTCTCCACTCATTTTAATATAAAAGGGGAAAAGGGCCAAATTTACCTCTCTACTTCTCTACTTTCTGAAATAGTTTACATTTAAACTCCGATTTACTATTCGAAAAAAAATACCCTCACCGTTATACTATTCGGACAAAATACCCTCACCATTAGCAAACTTATCACGTATGCCCCTTACCCTAATGAAGGTCCAGCGTTGCACCACGTAGTCTGACATTTGGGTGAGGTGGACTCCACGTGGCATGCCACCTCACCACCTAATAGTCAGAATTTGAAATCTGTTCATTAAATTTTTAGATTTTTCACTCTCGCTTTTTTTTCCATTCACTAAAGAATGGGAGCAAAAAAGGAAATCAAAACAAAGAAACCCAGATAATAGCATCCCTAGGGGAGAGGTTTACTGTTCCCTCATCATTAAGAAGGCTCATCTTGTGAGCAAAATCAGATCAAAGCAACTTACCTTGACAGGCATCATTGTTCACATTCACACTTTCAAAATAATTTGCAGATTCTACGACTTTAATTAAGTTAGGTTTTTTCTAATTAAAACCACCCATGCTTTATTCTTTTTACAGTTTAGAAAAATTATTTTCCAGTTTCTCATTAGAAAAAAGTTCTATTTTCCAAATTTGCTACTTTCCCTACCCAGTCACTTTCCATGTTACACTCCAATCTAAAATACAAAGATCCCAAAATATCAATTAGTGGAAATCCCAAGATTTATGAAATCTTCCTCAAAAAAGTAATTTTTCATAGAAATGCTAAAATAATACCGAAGAATATCAAGAAAAACTCTTTTAAAAAAAATACCTAACGTTTTAGAGCAGATTATTTTTCCTTGTGATAGAACTTCTTTATTTAGACTCATCTTTTCAATTTTAATTCTCTTCAAGAAAAGCATAACAACTCCGTATATAGAGTTGAATCCAAGTAGGGTTCCTTGTCATTCCCAATAATTCCTAGTGACTCAATTCTTTGCATCTGCATAGATTTTATTTCTGAGAATCTATGGCAAATTTGAAATTCATGTTGTGTTTTTCTTCTCTTTGAAGAACTTAGATTTTACAGCGTGGTGGTTTTTTGTTACAGATGGGAAGGAGTAGACTATAATTTAGTGGGTTTGGTTAATTTTTTCTTTTCTTTTTCAAAGTGGGTTGGTTATTTATTCTAATAAAAGTTGGAAAATAAATACACATGGCATCGAGGTGGCATTTTAGAACATGGGTAGGGACATCCGTTAGAGTAAGGGGTATATCTGATAAGTTTGCTAATGGTAGGGATATTTTTGTTCGAATAGTATAACGGAGGCTAAATGTGGACTATTTCCGAAAGTAGAGGGACAAATCTGGACCTTTTCCCATATAAAAAATTAAGAGAGTTACTAGTTGAAGATTATTACTCATAATGAAGGTGTGCTCTGCATTGAACCTCCACTTAGGAAACAATAATTTTTACTCCAGAGTCGGTAGTGGTCTCAGACTTATAGCCTGTTTGGCCAAGCTGCAAAAATCAGAAGTGTTTTTTCTCACTTTGGTGAAAAGCAGTTTGTGTTTGGCTAATTAATTTGAAAAGCACTTCTGAGCAGCAATTAGTGTTTGGCCAAACTTTTAAAAACTGCTTCTAAGTGTTTTTCAAAAAGTGCTTTTGGAGAAAACTACTTTTTCTGCTTCTCCAAAACTGCTTCTGCTTCTCCTCAAAATAACTTTTTTTTCCTTCCAAAAGCTTGGTCAAACACTTCAACTTTCAAAAAAAGGCAAAAAAAAGTGCTTCTCGGGTTGGAGAAGTTTGGCCAAACAAGCTATTAAACTATGACTGCTTATAAGAAATGAACTATCACTGCTTACACATAATAATCAATAAGTTGACATAAGCATTATTGGCTAGCACATGACGGCCTTATGTT